TCGTACCACCTATCCGGCTGGCTGGCAGGACCTATTACTGCCTTGGTGCAGAAGGCAGCCACCCTACCGTTATGTTGGCCAGAAGCAGGAAGGACAAAGGAGACTGTGAAAGAAACAAACTTACATTTAGGACAGCGCTTGAAAAGGGAAAATGCTATTTGGCCTAGCTGGCTGTCTGAGCCACAGATATTTGCTAGAAGCAGGAATAGAAATTGGTTTCGTGGGAGGCAGCACTAGTGCTTCTGCTACTCTGGCTGAAAAGGAGAGATACAGCACCAGGCACCATACTCTGTCCCCTGGAACCCAGTAGGGCTCACCAGAAATACCATGAGCAAACCTTAAAAAAAACCCACAGGCAAAATCACGTTTGGGAGTCAGGTGTGCCAACTCCAGGCCAAAGGCATCCGGCAAACCAAATGCGCTATAGATGCCAATCAAGCTGCCAAGCATACGCTGCTTAAGAAGGCAAAAGTAAACCTGCAGGGATGCAGCACTCTGCAAGAAGTAAACCCTGAGCAAGTGTCTCGGGAGGACCATTTTCACCTTTACAGCTGTATTAGCCAAGATTTGTTCTCATAAGTAAATACACATCAGCAGGGGCTAAAATCGCGTGCCCGTGCTGCCATCTACCGCCTAGCTGTGCATGCAGAGGCAGGAGCGCTCCCAGGTCACGCTGCTGAAGGGAGCGTGTCAGAGAGCCCTGTCCGGGTGCTCAGCCTGGCTCCCAGAGAAAGACCCCGAAGGAAGCTGCCGAGGGCACTTTTTGCAAAAGCAATGAGACTCGAGAGACTTTTGTTAATTACACTTTCAGGTTTAAAACAAAGTGAACTGTTTTTTTCCTTCCTTCCTGCCTTGCACAAAAGGAACAGAACTGCATCCAAGCTCTGTGCTAAAAGCATGCTTTTCCTAACAAATCAATTCAGGAAACTATAGGTAGTGCACCCACCTAGCATATTTTTATAAAGAAAAATTCTAGCCTGCTCAGAGTGGGCAAATGTGATGTTTGTGATGTTACCAGGACATGGAAGCAGATGTGTTTTCTTCCTACCCCAGACCAGCACATCTGATTTGCATGATTGCTAGCCTACTTCAGAGAAGCCACGACCATTAACCAGGTGCTACCAGATTATTTTCTTCAGTAAACAAACATTTATCAAAAAAGCATAGAGCAGTCTGAAGTGGTTCTGTACCCACCTCCATCTCTACCTGCTGCTGAGTTCGGTGATGGTTCTCTTTGTATTGGTTGGCTCTAAGTACTTGCTGCTCAATTCCTAAAAGAACCGCTTCACAACCATCACACCTGCAAGATACAATGTCAAACAGTGTTTACGAGTTCTCTCTGGAACAGCTCAATCAGGCAATCTGAAAAGTCATGCTCGCCTAAACGTTTAGGAGATTATTAAATTGATACTCCCTGCTTAAAGATTAGAGTTCCAAAAAGCTGGCAAGAAAAAGCTTTGCTGTTTACTCAATGTATTTCACAGCATTCTTTAGAGAGTCCATGTTACTCTTACCTGCCCATCAAAAAGTAAGTGCAGATTCAATGCACTTTCCACTTCCTTTTCAATCAGAATTACTGCTTAAACCGGGATGCAACGCATGTTTCAAAAGTAAGTAAAATTTTAAAATTAAACAAAAAAGTCAGATTGAGAGAATCCCCCTGCCTGTTAAGTGTTCAAAAGACAAGAGCACTCCTCCAACACAGAACTCCTAACTGGAGAGGACAGAAAGGGAATTGGCAGTGGGTTCATCGTTACCTTCCAAACAGTGCTGTAAGGTCCTGGAAGCTGCCAGAGCCCTCCCGCTGAGATGGGATTGAGGGAGTTGGGAGTAGAGAAGCAAAAAACCTGCCCCCACCTCAGGACAGCGTATTTGCACAACAGTTTAATTACTTTTCATGCACCCGTTACCATAGCAACTAGGACGCAATTCCCAGTCAGCTCAGAACCTGCCACAGGCTCCACACTCTACAGGGGAACTTCTTTGGGTGGGAAGGGAATCCTACAAAAAGACAAGAAGCAGCTTCCTGGCAAAGGTACAAAAAGATAGTACCACAGTCCCAATATGGTTGCGTGCAGCCTGCACTTGCAGAAACAAACAGAAGGCAAAGGCATCTGAAACTTCAAACTTGAAGAGACATCCCCTCCAAAGAACTGTGATTCTCTAGAATTTGCCCGTGCAGTTCTCATCACAGGCTGAGAAAGTAGGCTGAAAAGTAATGGACAGTTCTGTTTTTGTTATCAAGTGTAACAGCAGAAAGGGGGGTAGCTCCCACCATAAGACCGTGAGTCCAGTTCGGCATGTCTGTTTGAGAAGACCCTTGACTCCTTGCTAGGATTCTGCCATGGAAAAGTGACGGTGAGAGCAGAATCTCAAAACCTAGTATAGTTTGGCTTGATATATAACACAAATTAAATCCTAGGTGGGATCTTGGAAAACTTGCCCAACAGAGTGCTCCTTCAAGTGCCTCCTTACAGCATAAGACTCCTGATTAATGGAACATGGTAAAATTGAGCCAGCGCTTGAAACTTTGAGGAATAAAAAAAAGAGACAGGACAAGCTACGTACAAGGAACAAGGAAGGTGGAGAGACTGCCTCACCATTCCTGGAGTGTTTTGACAATGTTACTGATGTCCTTCTTCTGAATGTCTCTGCCGATACAAAAATCCACCTCTAGCACCTGGTTTCGTTGATCCAACTTCCCCTGGATAATATCTGTATAAACCGCTTCAATAATCAGATCTTCCAGCTCCCTCAGATTCCTCATATCCAGGTCCTTCAGCAACACAGAATAGGGAATGCACTAAAAACAGCAAGTCCAAGAATAAGTTAACAGTCCTAGAGCCAAAATGAACAGCTAAGTCTCAGAAGGTCAAGACCCAAATGTTTATTGTATCCTACACTTTAACCTGCAAGTACAGCAGTGACTGATCATGACAGAACAAACACCTGCTACTAGGCTACATAACATTCTGACACAACTTTGGTAATTCCTGAAGCTTTGGCACAGCGTGTTCTGCAGGAAAAAGGGTAATAGGATTGTAGAAGAAATTAAAAGTGTTGCTTAGTTTTCTCTAGAACAAAAAGTCAGTGTTTTTAAGAATGATTCTCCACCTCCAGCAGTGAAAGAAGCCATACAAAGTTTCGCAGCCCTTACTGACCAATTTGCGTGGCAGTCCAGACACCCCCACAGCTCATCCATGGAAGTCCACTAAGTTAATGTCCCAAATGTACCATGAGAGAACACTCTACATTACAGGTATTTTCCTAGTTGCAGGATTTTTTGTGAGTACTCACGCAGTCCGATACAACTTCAATGCTATGGCATTGATGCTCTTTTCAAAAACAAAAACAAACCAGAAGATGACTGCTATCATACAAAGTGCACTTTACCTTCATTCTGGAAGCCAGGCTTACAATCGTCAAGTGTTTCAGCTTATTTTTCTGAGTCGCTGTTAATTCAGGCAGGTTATCTTTGTTTGCTGTTAATGTTAAAAAGACAAGATTCAGGACCTTCCTTCAAGAATTATATAATCCAGGCTGCAGAACTTCAGGCTAGTTGCACTACACTAAACCCTGAAAGGCTGAACCCCTTCAGCTACTGTGCGTGTTGGTGAGCAGAGAGCGCTGCGGCTGATGGCAGATTAGCACACCCAGGGAGAGAGGGGAAAAGTTAAAAAACAAGTTGGCAATTCCATTCTTCTCTGCTTATTTAGTAATTCTGGTTTTGGAATTAGAACATAATTCACATCTACACAAGTGGTGTCCTGCCAAAACGGTTGGTCAATGCTTTGTTTCTACCACCAAGTCATTTTTATTTCATTAACGAGCTGACAGAATAAAATCTTCCCCCTTTGCTGATCTGGTTGTAAATACAGCTGGTTTTATTTCTCTGGAGAGCTGTCGAATTTAGGGTTGAAAGTGTAAAGTACTAGGCTGAGGAAGAGAGGAAAAATTATTAATCTAGATACTTACATGGCCTTACTGTCATTGTACTATATTCATGTGCCTCATGAATATTTAAAAACAGAAAGGAAACCGGCGGCTTTCCAAAGCAAAGAAACTCTTTAAAATATCTGCTTTAATGGAAATTAGTGTTCCAGGGCCACTCAAGTTCTCCCATCCATCCCACTTCATTCAGTGCTCTACATTTTCACTACTTTTCCCCCCTTCTCTTTCTTCACTAGAAAAGGAAGAAGGAACTGCGCTGTCACATGCTGGGACACAAGACCCATGCACAGCAAACATCTTCTAATCAGTCACAGAATTCATGAGGCTCGTGTTGCTCCACAGCCACTGGAATTTCCAGTCCTTGCACTTACGGATGCCACTTCTCCTTACAGGAACTAGACAGCTCATCCACCACAGTGATAGCCAGCACTATGACAGAATTATTTGTCACACGCTGTAATGGTCTGGATTAGGCTGCTACCCACAAATGAAGTATTAAATCGTAGCAGAATGGAAGCATAAGCACCAGAGATAAAAGCACATCTCGACAGATACTAAGATGATTCACACATAGTCCTTCTGAAGCTGTATAAAAGTCATTATTACGATTTGTATTCTAGCTAAGAAATGCTTCATTTTGTTTCAGCAATGCCATCACAGAATAAAAGGTTATCCCATAAACCTTACAGGTTTTTATAAATAATGCAGAACAATTTTGTCTAAGATTTCTGCAGCTTCCATAACCGGTGTCATCTAAATTTCAAAACAGATGTCTGGAATTGCACTCCGCAGAGGTAAGCGGCCTGTGAACGTCAATGAATACTGCTACAGACCAATTCAATCCAGTGCCGCAGTCTAATCCAAACCAGCAAAAGACCATCATCTCTAGCCCTTCCTCCACTTTTTAGCAATTAAAAAGCACATATGACCCAGACAGCCCCTACGAACAATTCTCCTCCCAAGCAAATTCTGTTCTTGGACACTTCCACCCAGCCACACTATACCAGGTACCACAGAAAGCAAAGAACTGCCTCTGACAATTCTAAAGGGCAACCCAGTCTCGTACTCTGCAAACAGGTGGCAGTCTCTTACCTACATAGTCTGGGTACGTTCCGTACGCAAACAGGTTCAGCAACTGGAAATAAGCAGCATTAGACCCTTCAGCAAGCTGGATGGGAAGACGACAAAAGAAACTCCATGTAACACGGTAACAGTCAATACGACACTGGTAGGTGACTTCTCCAGAGCATGTTTAAAGTCTATATAGGACAAGTAGTACCCAGAAAAGTAATTATGTCCTGATCTTAAAGAGCTGGACCCTTTATAAGGCCTCATGAGCAGCAGCAAATTTCAGCAGTTTCAGAGTCAAGATGATCTAGCCATTTCTATGCACCAGAACTTAACTACAGTTTGGACTGTCAACTGCTTTGTGCAGCCCCTTAGGAGGCAAAAGAAAAAGGCAACTTTGAATTTCAGCTGACGTCCTACAGGGCCAGCTCTTCTCATCACGTGACAAGCAAGCAGGCAGTGGTGTTGGTTGGTTAAGCATCCTTGCTGTTACTGGGAAAGCTAAGACAGCTTACCTGCAGAGCCACAAAAACTTCAAAGCAAAGCAAGCTAGAACATTGTAAGCTGAGCGCATTTGAAAGTAATAGCACTCCTCTCACATGCAAACACTTCACTGGAATAACTGCAGCACCAAGCAGTGATTTTTATGGAGTGGTTTTTTTTTTTTAAATACCATTTGCCGCACACAGATCCAGGAAAAAAACATACTTGCGATTTGATGCTGAACAAACATAGAGGCATTTTTCGGCATATCTAAGAGCCCGTTTGGAAAGCCAAACTTGCTGTACGCCACATTACCCCAGCTGCAGAGATACTCAACCTAGATTCCCTCGTTGTAGTAGAGGCGAGTGCTGGCAAGGCATTCTCAGTAAAAGCTCTGGAACTTACTTTCCACCTTGGTTTGAAATGGTTTGGTTACTACCCAGGCCTGATACGCTAGACATCTGTTCATGAAGACTTTTGGAGACCATTGAAGTTATGCTTTCCAGGACAACGAAGGAGTAGAAAGGGATTTTTTCGTTGTTGGCTGGCTAGGTGCCTTCTTAAAATTGTTACTGTGCTGCTGCCAGGTTTTTGCTGTGTTAGCAGTCGCATTAAGGTAGCAAAGCTTTATGTAAGTATTTTTTAACATGTAATATATACAGGCAAAAGCAACATCAATCTCTCATACACAAACATCTCAGAACCAAGATAAGTCGCACCAGGCCCTTCCTGGCACAGAAATTTCACGCGCAGGCTGTCTGTGGAAACTTCTGGGGATCTCTTATACTGGCAGTGCAGAAGGGGCATTATAATAGAAACTCATTCTCTTACCTCTTGCACATTTGTTAACTCCAACAGCTCTCCGAAGACATAAACCCCAGGAGCCTCCAGCACTTGATTTATAAGAGCAGTCAGAGCTGAGCCACTTGTACCTTTGGCTAGCAAAATAAACTGCTCTAGAAGATTGCAGGACGGTTTCTGTTCTCCTGCCATTCTAGGTTTTCAATCTGTCAATAAAAGAACATGATATTAATACATCCTTTCTCCTCTGCTGAATTCTGTCTGGCAGTGGATCAGAAGGTAGGCTCAGCATAGTAACTTTATGGTGTCATAAATAGCCAGGTTTTTCTTCAGCGTTCAGAGGACAGGCGAGGAACCCAGCAGGTTCGAATGCTGATTTATCTGGGGAGCAAGAACGATTCACACAACACCTGAGCAAAATTTCTGCAGACTGTCTGGTCAGTTCCCTAAAAAGATCTACTCCTGCTAGTAGGAAAGGAGTTTAGATTCCATGCTGTTTTCAGACTTTTCCTTCTACTGATGCTGCCGAATAATGCCAACTGCAAAGATGTTTATTATTACGTCTGTTAGAGGCCAGCTAAGACTTCCTCCTTCCTCATCACACAGCCTCAAAACAGCAACTAACTTAATTCTCCGTGAAGAATTGATCCACCTTGTAGGCCCGCACATCGTACCTTTTCCTTTGACACCGGCTATAGCTAAAGCGTGTGTACATAATTCCTCTTGCTTTCTTAGCCTAAAAGGCAAAAAGAACTGTGGCCTGTAAGTAGCTTACCAGGCTACATTGTACAGTTAATGTGTTTTGGGTTAACTGGAAAGCTGAAGTGATAAAAATACCCTTTCTACAAAGGCTCTATTTAAGTCCCTGTAAAGAGAGGTCTTTGTCTTCATCTGTTGCCTGACGTTCCTGGTGTGCATGTTGTCTCCCAGCACCAACATGTTGTTTTTGAAATGTAAAACAGAATTTATTAACAAGTTCAACAAAATGAGTTATTTATTTACAAACAACTAAGAAAAAACTTCCGAAGCATATTATTCAGACACCAAACAAAGAACTTAGCAGATAAGGGGTTTTTTGTGTTATGTTTGTATCGGACAATTCTCAAGTATAGCATGTAACCCTTACTCTGGTGAAGAAAACCAGACACCAGAGAACCTGTCTCATTCTGTGTGACCACTGGGACCACATCTGCCCCCGCGGGGGTGGTACAGTCACACAGGTGTTTGCACTGTTTTGCCATGCCTAACCAAATTAAGACTTGTGAAGGCAACGCAGCCAGCTTCCTTTACTAGTCAACTTCTAAACATACACTTTACTCCATTCCATTACACCTGCAGGTACAAATGGTCTCAACCTGAGCGGGCAATCTTTTGCACTCTCCACACAAAGATTTCTCGGTTCTCGGTGTAAAGTCTCTTTGGGATTCTTTTCATCAACAGCACACATGCAGCCTGACGGAACAGTACCTCAGTTTCAACTGAGAAATCCCTACAATACGATAACTCTCAATGTGGCTTCCTAATACACCTGAAGGTACATTGGTACTACTCTCCCCGCTCACAGATAAGGAAACAGACACAGACTGACAATTTTCTCAGGAGAGCGCACAGAGTGACTGAGCTGGGAATGAAATCCAGATTTCACAGTTCCCAAGCCACTGTCCTCCCTCACAGGTAGTCAAAACACACGCCGGTGTATGAGCTTACAAAAGACTGGTTAGCTGTATCCATGCCCTGCTAGGAAAGGAATGCCAATTCTTTGCCCCTTTCCCAGTTAACGTTCAGACAACAGCGTTGCTGTTGCAAACTGCCTGCACAGCCGTGTCACCAGGACGACCTCGCTGCTCTTTCCACAGCCGACTCACCCTGCTGAGAAGCGACTGAAATACAAATGGAAGACACTTTGACGGAGCTTGCCCAAAGGCTACAATAACCCATACACGGGGATAAACCGGGCTTCTCCCCCTAGCCATGCCTTGCTGCAGCCTTTCTAAGGTACCTGAAGGGGTTTCAGGGCAGGAAACGGCACGCAGACCCAACAGGAGGGAGGCGGGCTGCAGGGCACGGAGGCAGCCGGGCGCCCCGGCCCTCCCGTCCCCACAGACCCCCGGGAGGGCCCTCGGG